TCGACAGACCGTCTACAGGTGACTACGGCAGTATGGTATCCGGCCACGTCATCCCTACCGCGGACCGCTCCTGACGCCTCGACACCGGAACAACAGACTGATCTGGGCCAGGCGAGTTCGACGTTGGCAACGGCGGGACTGGGCACGTGTTATGTTCTCTGATGAGAGCAGATTCCTCATCTTCAGAAACGATGGACGAGAGCTTGTATACCGACGATTTGGTGGACGTTTGGCGCCTAACTGTATCCAACAGGTCCGGCCGTTTGGAGGTGGAGGGTTAATGGTTTGGGGTGGCATATGTGGTGACGTCAAAACGATGCTTGTCGTAATTCGTGGAAACCTGAATGCACAGCGTTATCTTGATGACATCCTACGGCCTGTTGTGGTGCCCTTTATTCAGCAACAGCCTCGTGGACTCCTTTTCCAACATGACAATGCAAGGCCACACACAGCAAGATTGACACAGAACTTCCTTGCCAACGCCAACGTACAGGTTTTGCCATGGCCCGCATGTTCACCGGACATGAATCCCATCGAGCACTTATGGGACCACCTCGATCGGCAAATCCGACGTCGCCGTGTGCCTTCAGTCAACGTCCAGGACTTGGAACGATGTCTCCTCGAGGAATGGCAACGCATCACTCCCAACGTCATCAGACGTTTGACGTCATCAGTCCGTAGGCGTGTTCTGGCATGTATTGATGCTCACGGTGGACATACCCGCTACTGACTTGACTTTGAGACGTGTGGTGTGACATTTCCCGTTGTTTCTGTGATCAGTGCTCTAACGAAATGTTCATTTTTCGACCCCACCCATATTTAAAGGCTTGTCATATTGGTTGTACAGATTTTATTGAAATGAAATTTTTGTACAGATGTTGTGGAAGGATTTCTCAAAAGCATAACACCAATCCTAAACTTCTGCATTGTTTAGTTTTTCTTTTATAGGTGGTATCGTTTCTTTTGGACACTAGTTTATATCTGAAAAAAAATGTTAAAAGGGCGAGTTCACTGATCACAGTACTGTCCTTATTTCATTGTACTTGTAAACATAAACTGCTGTAGACTAAACACGCGTTACACACACGGCCCTGCAACGGTGACACATAAATACATTGAAAGCGAAATGATTGCTACGAGTTTTCGAAAACGAATGACCTCACCGTGTCTGCTCTTTGTTTAAGAACAAAATAACTACCAACATCGTTACAAACGGACAAGTGTTAGACAGTGTGAACCTACCTGCTATTAACGTAGAAACGAGTACTACTATCAACGACATGATGAAGAGTGGCACTGAGTATGGCTGTCGTCTTCATGTGACTGTGGACCTGATTGTTGTGAATCGCCTGCCTGGACTCAGTCACGTGACTACTTCCGTGTCGGGATGTGAGGTCGGCGTCCATTTACTGTTAACGTATATCTATTAAGTATTAGATCATCTCGATAACAGGGCGAGGGGTGAATATGTTTTTAAACATTGGTTGTTTCAGTATCTTCTAGAGAGAAATCATTTTGCGTCCGGTTTACAAAATAAAACAAAATAATTGTTCACCAAATGTCTAACAATAGTGGCTTTGTTTTTGTCTTGAATCAATTATCGAAATCAATATTCTTTTTCTAACAAAAGTTCAATTCTGCTCAATCGAAAAAAGTGTGCAATTGGGAAATCTGTTTACTTCTCTTTCAGCAATATCGGCTAATATTTTACGCCGCAGTAATATTCAAGGTATACATTCCAGATAGTTTAAAGGTTTTCAGCAACCCATGCTTGCCGTCAAAGGCGACAATGCGTGTCGTAGGAGGCGACAAACGGGATCAGGTGGTCAGGCTCGCTGACTTGGTTGATACATGTCATCGTATCCCAAATGCGTGGATCGATGCTCATGTTGTCAATCCCTGGATTGTCTGGTCCAGACTCGGTTATTTGCAGACCGCCATCATATAGCTGGAATAATGCTGAGTGCGGCGTTAAACAACAGAGAAACAAACGAAACAAACAAAGATATTTCATAAACAATGTTTTTATTTGTCTTTTTCTAGTTTTATTCCAATCATTGAAGCATAAACTCTATCAATGTGACAATATCCACCATCACTGTGACTGTACTATAATTTCAAAATACATGTAGACGTGACACCTCATCTCAACCGTCCCATCTCCCGGCCGTCGCATTTCCACAGTTCCACAGTTCTGGTTAATAAAATCTCATTGCATGTCGGGGGCACGGGGGGCCCAGTCGTCTAAGGCGCCGCGATTCGCTGTGCAAAATTGCGTCCCTTGGACACGCCAGAAACCTAGGATTGTGAGTTCGAATCCCGGTTCGCCCCGATTGTGTTTCTAGATTTGTCAGCACCATACCCGTGCTCGTGGGTTTCACCGAAGTGGTAAACGTCTGAGACCTGCATCACTTCGGACTTTCTTCCACAATTAAGATGACATGCCGCGATATAACTGGAATACTGTTAAAAGAGGCGTTAAACCCAACCCACTCACGTCAAAAGGTACGTTGGAGCAAATATATTAGTCTGTACATTTCCACAAGAGTTAGTGATCTTGGTGAACGCCGTTAATTTTATCAATATTTCAGTGATATCATTGCGTGTCAGTTAAGCCGATAGTCCGATAATGATATTAGTCTTATATGTTTACAACATGGGGCAAAACCATCTCTAATTATTATTCCTTTAAAATTCTCTTTTAATGGTGCATTCAACTCTTTGTAGCTGTTTCGGGTTGATTTTGTTTTTTTTAAAAACAGGAGCACGCGTATAGTGCTGACAAATAAATATATTGCATTGTGCAAAAATGTTTCAAAGAAATATATATTATTTCAATGTGCTTAAAGGATAAGCAGTGTATGCGACTACTCTCTCACAAGCACATTATTACTTCAGTGACGTCACCCTGTGGATACACTGGTTCATACGCCTTGTCTAACTACAATTAAACTGTATATTGTAGACTGGGGTAGACGTTAACTTGTCAGCATTATCAGCAATGCCTGCCATTTTCAATGGGATTAAGATCAGATGAAGCGGCCGGAAAATCCTCATGTGACCGAGTGGAGAGCCAAGGGAGATTACTCTGCAGAAGACCATGTGAAGCCACGTATGTTCATGGGTCAAACGAGTGTTATTCAAGAATAGGAACGTTTTTAAAACAGACCACAAAGTTTGCACAATGATATATACGTAGTTTTAATTTCAGTAGACTATTGGGTCACCGTGCTATCCACACTACCAGAAATGACGGCTCACTGATGGAGAACAGAGAGATGAATCACACAACATATTTCAACTATAACTTCTTTGAGTGGCATTTAGAAGTTGGAATGGTAACTAAGACAAAATTGTTATGGATGCCCAATTGTAATAAAGAAGTTGCTCATCCATAACAATTTTGTCTTAGATATTTCAACTATGTGCACATAGCTATGATACAAATATAATCTTCTGACAAATGAACATATGTAATATGGTGAAGAATAAAAATAAATTAAAAAGAATATATTCAGCTACTCTCTCTCTCTCTCTCTCTCTCTCTCTCTCTCTCTCTCTCTCTCTGTTTATATATATATATATATATATATATATATATATATATATATACTCTTCAACAAAAGAAACGCAATACATATCTTTTGGGCAATACAAGCATAATAAGCGGACCAAGAGGTGCAAAATGACGAGGTTTAATGTGTTATAGTGTCAGTGACAAATTTCCCGGATCAAAATGATCCCAACAAGGATATGCAAACCATTTGTCGGGAAACACGTACAATTCGGAAAAACACACCCAGTGCATCAACTGAAGGACCCAGGAGCCTGCACTGCACGTGCAGCAGCACTAAGAACGGTATTAAATGCAGGGTTTTTGATTGCCTGGCATCTGCGTCAATCGAACAGTGACGTTCAACGACATGCCAAGATTAACAGAGGTGCAAAGAAACGATGTCATAGACCGCTTGAAGGCAGGGGAATCCCGATCAGCTGAAGCCAGGGTTTTCAATGTAGCGCCATCCCAGCACCATCACGAGGCTATGGGATCGGTTTCAACAGCATGGGTCAACACGTGATCGGCCAAGCTCGGGACGACCAAGAGTAACCACCCCCGCCCAAGATCGCTGCATCCGACTGCGCTACCTACACGCAAACACAACAGCCACCTGAACCGCATCCCAAATACCCGGACTGTGCAGAATCTCCGACCAGACCGTTTAACCGTTTAACAGCGGCAAGTCTACGAACAAGACCACCTGTTCGACGCGTCATATTGAGTCGACAACATCGTCGACAACGACTGCAATGGTGTCGTCAACACAGGGTATGGCATCAACTGCGATGGAGACATGTCTGGTTCAGCGACGAATCAAGATTTCTCCTCCTTTCTACAGACGTCGTGGAGAACGTTACGCCGGAAACTGCGTACAGGAACTGGACAGGTTTGGTGGGGGTAGCTGTATGATGTGGGTGGCTATCTCGCATCATGTCAGGACATGTTTGGTCCATATCCAAGGCACTCTTACGGCTCAACGATACATCAACGAAATTCTCCTACCACGCGTCTTCCCAATTGCAGCCAACGACAACGGTGTATAGGATAACGCTCGACCGCATATAGCACGGATCACAAGAGCCTGTCTACACAACAACAATGTTGATGTACTGCCCTGGTCCTCCAGATCCCCGGATTTGAACCCGACAGAGCATCCCGTGGGATGAATTGGATAGACGGCTACGCCAACATCAACCACAACCCAAGACGTTGCAGCAGTTGGCTTTTGCGTTGCAGACCGAGTGGGTTACCATTCCCCAGGATGTGATTCGCATACTCGTCTCTTCCATGGGCAGGAGATATCAGGACGCTATCGATTCCAACGGGGGACATCCGCGTTATTGATGGAAGCTGACCTTCACCTTGGACTTTTCCTATGTACCGATAACTGAGATGACTACAATCACCAAGTGTTCTCTCCACAACATTTTGGCTCAATACCTTGTACGGTTCCTCGTATAAATGTATCTTCCTCCCTCACACAAATCTGGCTTTGCGTTTCTTTTTTTAAAGAGTATAGTTATATATTTCCTGAAGTAAATTGCTCCTCCAGATTCCACATGTAGCCTCAAGCTCTTTGTCGTCATCAATGCAAGATTCCACATGTAGCCTCAAGCTCTTTGTCGTCATCAATACAAGCTGTTTTCTTTGGCGGCCTGGTACAGCAGATGAGGACCGGGGTTGGCGCTCTAAACTGAAAATAGATATATCCAGTGAATTGAAAAACAGGCTAATAAAAATAAAACACCATTGCATTTATTGTAGTTCTGTATACTCACTGTTTAGTTGTTTGTTTCGAGATTAAAAGCCCATTTCTGGTGTCCCCCGCCGTGATATTGCTGGAATATTGCTAAAAGCGGCGTAAAACCATACTCATTCACTCACTCGAGATTAAAAAGGCTTCATGTGGAATACTAAGGGCCATTTCATATTCAGGGGTTGTGGGAGATTGTTTATCTTGATAAAAGAGAGCTGATATATTTTTTTACATTATATTTCAAATTCAAGATATGGAAAGAATGTTAAAAACTATTCACTTTTTCACTAAAACAGTGCAGATGTAGATGTAGAACATTGAAAATAGCAGTATAGTAAAGCATTTTAATAAAACACCATGTGTACCAAACGTCCAGTGTGCAGTGTTCTTCAGATTGACAGAAAACTGGTCAACTTAACCTGTTTGTTCCCGCAACTGTGAGGAATGTACTTTTCAAGGTTTTGGATGATGCACATAAATAGCATAACTCTTCATTTAAACTGACAGAGAAACGTCACAAAGCTGACATTTGGACAGGTTGGGTCCAAACCCCGAATAGTGTTACAAAATGGTTGAGTTTTGTTTGTTTGTTGTTTAACGCCGCACTCAGCAATATTCCAGGTATATGACGGCGGTCTGTAAATAATCGAGTCTGGATCAAATAATCCAGTGTTTGACTCCATGAGCATCGATCCACGCAATTGGGATCGACGACATGCATCAACCAAGTCAGCAAGCCTGACCACCCGATCCTGTTGGGTTGCTGAAGGTAAATGATGCTTAATTGGCATTTCACATCACAGTCAACAACTGTTTCAATCGTATCACAGCATGACAAGTGGAGTCAATACCCTTGTCCAAGGCGAGGTGAGGTGGAATGGGGTTTAACGTCTCGTCCAAGATTATTGCATTTATATAGGACGTGCATGCAGTTTAACATGAATACCCCACTCAGACACAGTATACTGACTCCGTACCGACCAGTCCTTGTTTTAGCCCCTTAATGCCGAGCGCCAGACAGGGTAACAACAAGTACCATCTTTTAACGTCTTTTGGTATGACGTGGTCGATCTTCCGCTCTACCACTAGACCACGGAGGCGGTCACATTGTCCAAGGATACGATACAGTGACTTGCATGATATGACATCTTGAAATGAATATCAATAAATAAACGGTACAGGCATACTGTCTCTCATGCTCGATGTCAAAGATTATGATATTGCTCACGAAATACTCTATATTGACGTGCAGAGATGCGTCCTTTGGGAACGCCAGAAACCTATGATCGTGGGTACGAATCCCGGTTCGCCCCAATAATGTTTCTAGGTTGTCAGCACCATTCCTGTGTTCGAGGGCTTCACCGAAGTGATAAACGTCAGAGACCTGCATCACTTGGGGCTTTCCTCCAACATTAAGCTGACACGCCGTGATATGACTGGAATACTGTTAAAAGCGGCGTTAAACACAACTCACGCACTCACTGTATTGACGAGGATTGCTATATTGCGGTCATTAGTTTTTGTTAAGGAACATTCTTTTCATGCGATGGAGTTTGTTTTTTACACAAACTTGGGGTGTGTGTCTCTTTTAAAAAAGACCCCTGACTAAAAATCCAGCAACAAAACGTTTATAAACACGTCACAAACCTCGTGACGTAATTTGTGAATTTGTGTGGGCAAGATACACCGGTGAAGCAATGCCATGTGACGTCAGCCTAGCAACAGGGTTGCTGTGGTCATTGGGTGTGTATAAGCTCCTCTCAGTGATCTATCATCCGACGTGTCCTTAAAATATATGCCCAGCGATGTTAAGAGTTTTCAATATTTATTAGTATAACAAGTTCCGGCAATACATTATCACGTGCTTTGTTATTAAACTATGTACCACATTATTGTTATTACAAAGTGTTAACTTCATCAGCGAGTACTAAGTTGTGATATCTTCTTGTCTGTTGCGTCAAGCCTGATATGTACTTTGGTATAGAATCGTTTGCTCATGAGTGTAGAACTCATGACGTTGTTTGTCGTGTCCCCTACTACACTCAAGCAATGCTTGCCATAGGTACCTGTTACGCTGTCGTTCGTTGCCACTGTACTGTACAGGCCTGGATGAGATCCGGCCTTGGCGCATCTGTGAATCCGTATACAACATTGTATGATCAGGTACAGAATGGTCACCAAAACGATTGCACCCAGCAGAATATCAAATCTGAAATGTAAAGTTATAGAAGCATTCATCATGGCGATATGTGAGTATTGTGAGGGAATGAGAAAGTGAATGCTACCTTGTTATTATTATGTACGGATTAAGATACAAAATGCAGCAAAGAGGGTTTGGGTGCACTGCAGCTTTCTGCATCACAGATTGTCATGATCAGAAGGGCTGTGCAGATTGGGAGGTACCAAGAACAACGGAGAGTCTGAAAACTTGGAACATGGGATGCAAGCGTGACATTTGGAAAACGAGTTCTGCATATTTGCCATGTTTTTCCTCAATCTTGTCAATCACATACGTGTCAAAAGGGACAGAAAATTCAATAATATATATGATTTCATTGGATTTATCAAAACGGCATGATCAGGTTTGTTGGCATGGAAACGTCTGAGGCTGTTCCAAAGAATTTTGTTTTTATCATTTTCCATGACGCCCTCAACATATGCTGGGTCGTACCCAGAATTTTGTATTTATCATTTTCCATGACGCCCTCTACATATTCTGGGTGGTACCATGGATGGACCTCTGTGTCAAAACCACAAGCATGGCGAAGACGGTAACAAAAGGATAGAGCCACTCCATCATGTTACTTAAGATACTGTGTTTGTGCCAAAGCTGGGCATCCACTGACAATGTGTTGGACAGTCTCAATAAATTAGTTGCATAATCTACATTTCATATTTACATTCAATCTCATTCAAATCCGATCTAAGTTCTCGCTGCCGCTAAACAAAGATCTGAGGACATCCCATTACGGGTCACCTCAAAACGACCTTTCGCGAACTTTGACCGACCACTGAAATGACTAACAAATTATCGACATCAGCCACTTAGAAAGTAGCTTTCTCGAGCTTTACGGCACTCGTTTCAACGCTTGAAAAATATGTTGACACAGTTCTCGATTTAAAATTTTGAAAACTGAACAAAAGAACATTCCGGAATGTCTTATATATGGTTGAGATTGTATGCCGGTGCTTTCCACGTACTGTGCAACGCCGCCTCCGTTCAAATGTTTATCCCAAGCAAGCCAGAGATAGACGATAATTTTGACAGAATCAGTCGTACGGGCCGTAACTGTCGTTCGGAATACCCCGTGTAAACGTTTTCGAGGTTGCATGATCAGAAAACACATTCCGACTGTCACTTTCACGATCTGGTAAGCGACGCTCTGATTGGTCGGATGAATGGTCGTCCTGAGGTGACCAATAATGTGATGTCGTCAGATCTTTGTTTAGCGGTAGCGAGAACTAAAACCTGATTTTTATGAGATTATATTTATATTTTGATGCAAAATCACACATTGACGGTTTCGAGTGGGAAGTGACTGGTCCTGAGCAGTAAACAGAAATTACACTTTCTTTCAATTAATGGGATTACTTTCCATCTACCTGTCTTAATTGGAAGATATGATTTGAGGTGCTAAATTGAAGCAATATTCTCCCGTTATTCTCTTGCAGAATACTAAGGTAAGATTCGTCATGAAGATCTAGTTTTGTAAACAATGTGATAAGTAATACCCTGGCCTGAGTTCTACTTGGCATCGCAGTAAGACGTACTTACTTATCACTCAAGCAGCAAGAGATGTTCAAATCGGGTGCACAGCAACCGAAGATGCAGGTAAGTACTTCACCGTAGATGTCATAGCAGACTTCAGACACTGAACCTGAACACACATGCAATACATGTAAGAATAACATAAAGAATACTCGCCTCTTATTGTCAACTAAACTTTCTAAAAAATGTCATGCATTTCAGGATTTAAACAAGAATCAAACTGAACGACTGCCTGCCTCTTCCTGTCCAATCACGACGTCGTGTCAACTTCATCGAGTGACCTTGTAAAGTTGATATTGTTTACAGTGGCGCAGCTCTCAGATCACCAGATGTGTGAGTGAGTATAGTTTTACGCCGCCTTTTGCAATATTCCAGCAATATCACGGCGGGGGGACGCCAGAAATAGGGTTCACACATTGTACCCATGTGGGAAATCGAACCCTGGCCTTCGGCGTGACGAGCAAACGCGTTAACCACTAGGCTACCACACCGCCCTCACCAGATGAGATACAGTTAGTCTGGTCCTGCCAGAAAAACTATCATGAATACAGTGAGTGGGGAGGATATAACGTCGCAGTATTGATCAATATTTCGAAGCCTACAGTTTCTGGCACGCCCTTAGACGTAGCTCCTTAGCCGACCCCTATTAGTAGACAAAGTGCAATAAATAATGATTACTCCTTACCCATGATTAAACAATCCAAACACGTGTTAATCCGGACTGTTTCCATGGAAACCCTACCGTCCGGATTATCGGGATTTCAAGTTTTCTTATTTTATGATTTGTCTTTATCTTCATGATCTGACACACGCCTAATGATGACATCTTATCTGTAATTCATCAATAGTCTATCCAGTTATTACACATCATATTGTTCTGCTTTGCGTTCAATATACTAAAACGTTTTCTGGCGTTTCCGAAAAGCTTTTCGTTCACCAAATGAACGTTTGGTTTTGCCGTGACGTTCTTGAAAAACGTTTCGCTTAACAAACGTCTTGTTTTACGCGAACGTTTCACAAAATCGAGGACATTGTATTGTCAGTTCTCTTTGGCGGATTAACTGAGGGCTACATCCAAATACTAGCAAATGCAGCAGCAGCACAATTACTAACATCAGCAACGGGAACGTCATCATCATTTGTTGATATGTTGCTACTGCAAAGCCAAGAACATCTGTCAAGTGTGAAGGGTGAGGTGAGGTGAAATTGGGTTTAACGTCGCGTCCAAGATTATTGCACTTATATAGCGACGTGCATGCACGTGTATGTGTGTGTGTGGCTGCTTGTACTAGTCCGGACTGATGCCGATTTATAGTGCTAGCTCACTGAGATACCATGCCGCAGTTTAACATGAATACCCCACTCAGACACAGTATACTGACTCCGAGCCGACCAGTCCTTGTTTTAGCCCCTTAATGCCGAGCGCCAGACAGGGTAACAACAAGTACAATCTTTTAACGTCTTTTTGTATGACGCGGCCCGGGATCGAACCCCGGACCTTCCGCTCTCCGGGCGGACGCTCTACCACAAGACCACGGAGGCGGTCCAAGTGTGAAGGGCTATGTGGACACAAAAGACAATAAAGTCTTGGCGTTCTCAACACAACGTCAACTGGTGGCACTCCAGTCAGCCGAGACCATCTACATGGATGGAACAGTCACTTCCTGAACTCTGGGATCAAGTCCATACTGTCAACTATCACCTTGTATATTTACCTTGTCTTTGTGTTCATATACTTTAACTAAATAAAGTATAAGTTTACTTTTCTACTTTTCTTGGATCACTCCAATACTTCGGTAACATACACTACTGCCCAGAAGTTCATTCCCGTGGGCAACGCGTTACGCAACCCGTGTGCACCCCGTTGGTCAATCGTGTGGAACCCGTCCGCCACGCGTGTGATACCCGTGTGCAACGCCTTAAACACGGGTGTGCACCCCGTTCGTCACTCGTGTGCAACGCGTGACACACTCATTACAGGGGGAACAAACTTTTGACCAAAGGAGAACCCATGTTAAGCTGAACTTGGAGGTGGTGACAAGGAGAGAAATGTTTGTTATCCTGACGAAAAATGTCAATACACATGTTATTTTATGTACTTGCTGATGTCACATTTTTAGATGTGATATTGTTGGATAGCATGAGTACTGTTTCGGCTTCTACATGATGTTTTGCGATGGTGTTAAGAGAATACATGATCCTGAAAAATATTATTGCTATTCAAATGCTTTTTTTTGTAATTTGACATTAAACGTCTGCAGAACGACTTTCAGTGATCCTGTTTATAAGGTTTGGCGGAGCACTGGTTTTATTGGACCCTAATTACTTTATGATGGTTGGGTCTCTCTTCGTCTCAGCTCCAAAGCCGTGACGGCAAGGGCAGCATTTGATTAATGAGAGTAGGTTATATCATGGAGGATACACTTGAGGGAGAGCGTTCTACTAATTACCATACCACAGGAAGAGACCTGTAGGCGTGCCGCAAGGAGAGGTAAACATTGAGCTAAAGCAGTGGATGTTTTCACGGGCTTTTTTAATAAATTTCTAGCGCTACTGTCAATATATCTTCTACTTGATCTTTGATACATCATTTTGACATTTACAATATAAACTTTTTCAATGCACATTAATAGTTTACTTATCATGTGTTTTAGAGTATTTGTCAATTGTGTTTTACGATACGATACTGTAGCTATCTGCACGAACTATTAAAAATTGGGCATAAGGTCACGGAGACGAAGGCTATAGATACTATACCATATTCGATTTTTTAGATGACAAAGTACATTATTTAGTATAATAAATTCAGTTATTGATATCTACAGATTAAAACTATACCACATCAACTATAATTTGCTTCCGTGTGTGAATGCGTGTAATACTTGCATATTGGCTCACCAGTTCTCATAAGGCTTTGTATTACCGCATGTAATGTGTATCTACTTTAATGTTTCGCCCTCGTGATCTAACGTTCTAGCATAGACATCCTCTTATACACAACATATGCGTTCTGCACATATTATCTTTCGGTTCCATAGCCTGCTGTAACAAAGGCGATACTGTTTCATAACATGTTATTGCAATGTTTTCAACACATTGCAGAAATGTTATGCTTGAACATATTTTCATGAAATGTTATCGCCATGTATTAAAGTGAGTACCGATTACGTGGCTGTGGATTGGTAATGCAGTAATCGAACATTTTCACAACAGTTACAGTTTAATCTGATATAAACATATTTATTTCCATAAAGTGGAGGGGGGGATTGGCAAACAAGCAAATTTTGCTTATCTGAATGCCTCTCCCAAACATGATACATATACAAATTACAATGTATTGAAAGTGACATGAGAAAAACATACAGTATATAATTGACATTAAAGATAAGTATTGTTCTGTAAGTGTTTAATTACTGGATTATCTTCCATAACTACAGTTACATTGTTGTTTACATTCAGCACAACAACATCGCAGTATCATATAGCAAAGCCAACATCTCAGACAAAATCTCAAAATCGGCAAGAAGATAGAATAAAACTGTGCACCGATTTCAAAATTTCAAAATTTGTTACTGTCGTTAAATTTGAATTACCATTTACAATTGATTATAAATCGTAGCCTTTTACGAAATAATACATGTTTTGCCTTACTGTACTGTTTAAGGGACACGTAAGAAAGAAATGAAGTGCATCTTCCGTATGATAGCCACAACAACATCTCGGGCTGTCGGATATAAATCTGGCAAATTTGTCGGCGTCAAGATAGTGCACTGCAGCCAAGCCTGAGACAGGAGTGTATAACCTGACAGAATCTTGATCCATAATTTGTATCAAAGTATATACCATTCCTATCATTGCTTTTTATAAAACTTTTAAAACTTCCTAAGCTACTGGCATTGGTGTATCCAAATATTAACTGTATCTGGAATAAATGATTTGGCATAATTATTTGATTTACACTTTGTGGTTTGCAGCTATGAGCAGTTTCTCAAATTATAATCACTTGCATTCGACACTCTATTAGGAACTAAGGATGAGAGATAGTCCGGTACTAGATTGTTAACCATTTTATAAAAAAATATTTAACTTTTGAAAATGCCTTCTTTCTTCTAATGACGTAAAATTTGTTTCTTTATCAAGTTTACCGTAAATTGTGCCACGGACAGCCCCACAAATAGTTCTGAGTGCATCTAGATTTAGTTTTTCAAGTTCTTTTCTGCAGTTGTCCCATATGTGGAAACAATAATCAAATATCGGTAATATTAAAGATTTAGTTTCAAGTGTTTTTCGGGGACACTGGTGGCCCAGTCGTCTAAAGCGCCGCGATTCGCTGTGCAGAGTTGCGTCCTTTGGACACGCCAGAAACCCATGATCGTGGGTTCGAATCCCGTTTCGCCCCGATTATGTTTCTAGGTTTGTCAGCATCTTACCCGTGCACGTGGGTTTCACCAAAGTGGTAAACGTCTGAGACCTGCATCACTTCGGCCTTTCCTCCCACATTAAGCTGACACGCCGTGATATAACTGAATACTGTTAAAGGCGGCGTTAAAACCAACTCACTCACTCCAGTGTTTTTTTCTATTTAAACGATACTTGAAACTACTGAGACAGTTAATCATTGGACTGACTTTCTTGACTAGGCTATCAATGTGATCGTTCCACATACAATCTTCTTGGCGAGTAAGTCCTAGATGTTTATTAGACTGAACTTCCTGAACAATAGTGTTACTCATTTTCAAAACTGGTTTTACATTTCATTCGGGAAAATTGGATAGATACCGTTTTATTAGGGTTGAAATCGACCTGCCAGTTTTCTGCCCAAGAGGATATTCTACTTAGATCGTTATTAAGACAATGTGCTGTTGTATTCGGGTCATTTACCACGACATATAGGGATGTGTCATCGGCAAACAATCTTATATTGTCTATAATGTCGTTTATGAAAATTAGAAACAGTAGCGGTCCTAAAACTGACCCTTGTGGAACTCCGGCCGTAACTGGTCGTAAGTCTGAACTATATCCATTGATAACAACCCGCTGGCATCTATGTTTTAGATAGCTTTCAAACCATCTCAATAATTTCCCTTCAATACCATAGGATTTGAGTTT